GGCGATGGCGAGACGGGCCCGTAAGGACCATGGCGGCATGCGGACACCTTTCCATCACCCCTTTATTCAAGCCGTTGTAAGTTTTAGCCCTCGCCCATGGAGCCAGCCGGTGCCGCTGTCCGGGACCCGCCCGCAGGTACCTGGAGCTCCTGCGGAGAGAGGGGAGGCCTGCAGCCTCAGTGGCCACCCCCAAAAGGAGGTCTCCCAACACCTCGACCGTGTCCCGTCCCCAGCCCTGCGCACCTTCACACGATGCCCGTCTCCAGCACGTCCTCACTTTTGGAAGGCAAATTCTTGTTTAACGTCTCCATCTCTTCTGCCTTCCTCTTCCTACGTTGCTTCCGACAGTGGCTGGAGGCAAGGGGGTAATAATTAAAACAAACAAAGCAGAATGAGGCATCGCAGCGATGCTGCTCCTCCTTTCCCTCTGCTTTCACCTTGCAGAAGCTCTGGATGGGACCATGCATGGTTTCCAGCCCCGAAGTGGTGACCCATGTACCTCCCAGCACCCTCAGAGGTCGTGTCGCACCTGGCTGGGGCAGCCCAAATTCAACCTGCCCCAAGCCAGCGGAGTTGGGCAGGATTAGTTCCCAATCTGCCCCTTCCCACCCCACCCCTTTCCACATCCCCCCCTCCACATACTGACTGCAAAGGCAGGCGCAGACGACAAGGACTATGAGGGTGACGATGGCAGCAATCAAGGAGATGATCACAATCTGGCCCCGGTCACCTCGCAGGTAGAAGATGTCCACCCTCTCACAGCGAGCTCCTGTGTAGCCTCGCTCGCACCTGCCCCGTGGCACAGGGGAGGCAGAGAGGGGGTCTGAAAAACCGCCATGGTGCCCGTGCCCCCCTCCTCCCACTTACCCAGGGAGGATGGGCACAGCACCCCCACCCCATGCCGCCGTGGCCCCGCTGCCAGTGGCTTACACACAAGCTGGTGCCTTCTCAGCCACGAGGAAGCGGCATCTCCCTTTGACGCAGTAGTGCTTGTACTCCTCCGGGCACCTGGAGAAGTGACCGTGCCGCCTCAGCTGCGTCACGTTCCCTGGGGGTGACAAGGACAAAGAAATCCCCCCCTTCCGGGGGTTACGGCTCTGTCCAAAAGCAAGAGCATCCTGGACCTGGTCAGTCGCTGTGGCAGGTCTGAGCCTGGCCACCTGCAAAGAGCTGCCAGTACGTGTGTCCTTGGCTGTGGCATGCTGGCCCTGACCCCTTTCCAGCTTGGTGGATGCCACACGGCTATGCAGACAAAACACCCTGTCCGTCCTCCATCCCAGCCCTCTCCCCCACACCGTCCTGCTCCTGTCCAATGCTGCCAGCTCCCCCGAGCATCCTCACACCGCTGCCTTACCCATGCAGCTCTCAGCTGTGCTGCAGGTGAGCCCCTCTGTGCTGTGGCCGGTGGTGACGTTGGCATCGGCGCCCACGCAACTGACAAATGCCAAACCTGAAACACAGCAGAGGCAGCTCAGAGGGGGAGCCCGGCCAGAGCCCTGACAACGCCACCGCCCCACCGCAGCCGCTCTCCTGGCCCTTGCTGCAGGGAGGGGACTGGCAAAGGGCTCCACAGCTGTGCCCGTGGCCCCCCTTCCCTGGCAACATCAGCTTTTCCCCAGGGGCAAGGAGAAGAGAAAGCCAGTCCCCGCCTGCCTCCTCCACCCACCAACAGCCCAGCACAGGGGGCCAGGAGACAGCGGGGCAGTTTTGTGGGGCACAGGCCTGCCTGCAGGCAGCCAGCTGCCCCTTTCCCCAGGGAGGATGCAGGGAGGGATCCCCAGGGAGGTCTGGCTCACTGCACTGTCCTTCTTGAAGAGCCTGTGTTTCAGAGCCACTGAAAAATGCACCAGCCATGGGGGTGAGGAGACAGCAGTGCTGCGATTCAGCACCCACCAAAGCCCAGTTGCTGCCAGTGTGCAAGTGCTAAATACTCATTCCAACATCACTCACTGCTGCACCAGAGCATGGGATGCCTGGCATGGACCGAGCTGGGAAAGGGGTGACCATGCTCGCCATGGCCACGGGACAAAGCCGAGGGCCGGCTCAGCTGTGGCACGTCACACAGCAGTAACCGGATCGCTGGCATACCAGCACTGACTCAGCATGGCCCTGCTCCCAGCCCGGCCCTCCCCAGGGATTCACTCGGCTGTGGTGGCACCCAGGGGAGCAGGGACAGGTCCTGCCTGATGGGGCAGGGTGCTGGGTGCCTCTCACTGCAGTGGCATGCTGAGGTGGGGGGGGTGTTTCCATCCTGAGTGGGTGCACTTTGCAGCTTGGCCATGCCAAGGCCTCCTGGAGAGAGGGGGAGTTTGAGCAGCCAAGCCTGGGCAGCCTTGTCCCCCCTGTCCCACAGCAGAGACGTATGTTCCCAGCAAACGCGTCCCTCCTGGCTATATATAGCCACCGCCACGCTGACGACGTGCTTTGGGTAACAGAGCTGCAGTGAGACCGGGGCTGAGCTTTTGTCGAGGCTTCTCCCCCAGTGAGGATCCCCTCCCTGGCCGAAAAAGCCCAGTGGAGAGGAGATGGAGCCCACTGCCCAGTCTGGCCCAGGCAGCAGGGTGGGAGCTGCTCAGCAGGAGCCAGGGGATGAGCCACAGGGTAGCTGCCCCCAATGGGAACGAGCTGCGGGTGGCGTGGGCATGTGGCGGCGCAGGGCGGGAGGCTGACTTCACCCCTGGTGACCAAGTTTGCAGTTCGGCACGGAAAGATCCCCACCAAGACGAGATCCCCACCCTTATTGCAACCAGATGCAGAACTTTGGCATCCCCCGAGTTGGCAGCCCCTTGGCGAGGACCGCCCCAGTGGCACTGCCAGCTCGGGGGGGTGGGGTGTGCCCCCCCCCCCCC